TTATTATTTTGATAATTACAATGGTGAGATTCAAGTGAAGTGGTTGATTACACATTGTAGATGTGATCTTTGAGAAAAAAATTTTACATTTATGCTTCCTACTTTGGAAATTCGTAAATGAGTAATAATAATCGAAGGGAATACCATAAACACTTATTGATTATTTTGTGTTGATTGTGCGTACGCTGATAAGGCAAAACTGAAAATTGTACTTAGCATATAAATAGCTATAAATAGCATTAGCGGGATATTTATTCTTGAAATCATCGCAATAATATTTGAAGTAGGTAAAGAGTTTAGATTCTGAAGTACCTCTTAAACAATAATGTAACATTGCATAATTTTTTTATAGGTTTTTATTAAGTGTGTCAATATGTTGTAATATTTTGTATTGTAATGTCTGAAAATATTTTTATATTTTTATCTTAGGTTTGGGTTATGTTAAAATCATTGTATCCAAAGCAATGTCTATTATGCGAGGTCATGTTGTGTAAAAAATAGGTACTATTATTTATTTGGGAATACCGGATTCACTACAACGCAGTAAATTTGGAATGTTATCATTGATAAGTGGTCTCGCTGCTACCTTAAAGTGCTTTAATACAATGGAATGTAACCAAAAGAAACAACTCTCGTCAATAAACGACACCTCCGATTGCATTTTATTATTAAATATATTTTTATGCTTTTTGTTTTTACGATTTGTTGACAATATCAAGCATATATGTATGCTGGGCCGATGAGACAGGGGGTCAACTGGAGTAAATTCCCCGGGGTCCGGCTGATCGCTCTTAAATCGCCAACACAAAAATATGGCAAAAAAATTGTCGACTGCCGGAGTTCGCGGATTTTCCCGCGCAGGCTCTCGAGGACTCAGCCTACCTGTGACACAAATTAGACGACGAAAAAAGAAAAATTGCACATTTAATCACGTTTTTGGTCCTTTTATCCCATGAGATTGAATTATTTTAAATTCCTATCTAATGCAGAATTTTCCAATCTTTCATAATTTTCAATCCGTTGGTCGCTATCGCTTTTAGTTTAAAAAATATGCACTATTATCGTTTATTGACTCCAATATGTCAGGAACGTTGATTTTTCGTTGTTTATTTAGTTATATTGCAATTCATCGTAATTGTCAAGTTGAGTCGCATTCGATTTACCATAGCAGGGCACCGCATGAGGGTAGCGGTAGAAGTGACTCGTGTTCAAGGCACCGTACAAGGGCAGTGGCAGAAGTGACTCGTGTTCAGGGCACCGTACAAGGGCAGCGATAGAAGTGATTCGTGTTCAGGGCACCGTATATGGATGATTGTATAGCTGACTCCAATTCGCCCAATTTTTCTTAAAAATTAAAATTTCATTTCTCTGATTTCCCCTTTAACTATATTATCTTATAGAGAATAGGTCGCAGAATAGTCTCTGCAATTTGTGCCTATTTATCTTTTTTAATTTACGAGATATTCGCGATTGAGTAAAATGGGCAAAAATTGCAAAATATCACTTTTTAGCACTTTTAGTCGCGTTTTTCGACCTTGTTCTGTAGGAAATATAATTATTTTATATTTTATCTGATAGGGAATTTTCCAATCTTTCATAATCAACAATTCGTTGGTAGCTATCTCTTTTAGTTTAAAAGATATGAATTTTTGAAAATCGTCGAAAAAAAGTATCAAGCACCCCCCCTGGCAATTTTTTCTTAAGACTTAAAATTTTATCTCTCAGATTTCCCTTTTAACTATCTTATCTGATAGAGATTGGTCCGTAGATTAAGACGCTGCGATCAGATCTTATTTATCTCTTTTAGTTTACGAGATAATCGCGATTGAATAAAATGGGCAAAAATTGCAAAATGTCACTTTTTAGCACTTTTAGTCGCGTTTTTCGACCTTTAACTGTAGGAAATATAATTATTTTATATTTTTATCTGATAAGGAATTTTCCAATCTTTCATAATCAACAATTCGTTGGTAGCTATCTCTTTTAGTTTAAAAGATATGAATTTTTGAAAATCGTCGAAAAAAAGTATCAAGCACCCCCCCTTGGCAATTTTTTCTTAAGACTTAAAATTTTATCTCTCAGATTTCCCTTTTACCTATCCTATCTGATAGAGATTGGTCCGTAGATTAAGACGCTGCGATCAGATCTTATTTATCTCTTTTAGTTTACGAGATATTCGCGATTGAATAAAATGGGCAAAATTGCAAAATGTCACTTTTAGCACTTCTAGTCGCGTTTTCGACCTTTTCAGTAGGAAATATAATTATTTTATATTTTTATCTGATAAGGAATTTTCCAATCTTTCATAATCAACAATTCGTTGGTAGCTATCTCTTTTAGTTTAATAGATATGAATTTTTGAAAATCGTCGAAAAAAAGAATCAAGCACCCCCCCTTGGCAATTTTTTCTTAAAACTTAAAATTTTATCTCTCAGATTTCCCTTTTAACTATCCTATCTGATAGAGATTGGTCCGTAGATTAAGACGCTGCGATCAGATCTTATTTATCTCTTTTAGTTTACGAGATATTCGCGATTGAATAAAATGGGCAAAAATTGCAAAATGTCCCTTTTTAGCACTTTTAGTCGCGTTTTTCGACCTTTTTCTGTAGGAAATATAATTATTTTATATTTTCATCTGATAGGGAATTTTCCAATTTTTCATAGTCAGCAATTTGTTGGTATCTATCTCTTTTAGTTTAAAAGATATGAATTTTTGAAAATCGTCAAAAAAAAGTATCAAGCACCCTCCCTTCGTCGTTATGTGTTATGATTTTAACTATTGTATCCAAAGCAATGTCTATTATGCGAGGTCATGTTGTGTAAAAAATAGGTAGTATTATTTATTTGGGAATACCGGATTCACTACAACGCAGTAAATTTGGAATGTTATCATTGATAAGTGGTCTCGCTGCTACCTTAAAGTGCTTTAATACAATTTTTCCCGCGCAGGCTCTCAACGACTCTGCCTACCTGTGACACAAATTAGACGAGCGGCACGGTCGAACACAATTACGGGATATTCGCAATTAGAGAAAAGGGCAAAAACAAAAAAAGAAAAATTGCACATTTTGTCTTGTTTTTGGTCCTTTTATCCCATGAGATTAAATTATTTTAAATTCCTATCTAATGCAGAGTTTTCCAATCTTTCATAATTTTCAATCCGTTGGTCGATATCGCTTTTAGTTTAAAAAATATGCACTATTATCATTTATTGACTCCAATATGTCAAGAACGTTGATTTTTCCTTGTTAATTTAGTTATATTGCAATTAATCGCAATTGTCTAGGTGAGTCGCATTTGATTTACCATAGCAGGGTGCCGATAGAAGTGACTCGTGTTCAAGGCACCGTACAAGGGCAGTCGCAGAAGTAACTCGTGTTCAGAGCACCGTACAAAGGAAGCGATAGAAGTGATTCATGTTCGGAGCACCGTATAAGGGTAGCGGTAGAAGTGACTTGGGTTCAGGGCACCATATGTGGATGATTGTATAGCTGACTTCCATTTGCACATTTTTTCTTAAAAATTTCATTTCTCTGATTTTCACTTAAACTATATTACCTTATAGAAAATAGTCCGTAGATTAAGACTCGGCGGTTCGTTCCTTTTTATCTCTTTTACATTGAAGTTTTTAATCATTATAATACACTCTTGATAATATGTGCTCCATACAAAAGTGGAAACACATCGAAACATTAATTTTTGATTATAATAGTCTAAATTTTGGAATTAGTACCTGTGGCATTCATAGATGGCACTATGATGCACTAAAAATCATAAAATCGAGTTATACGGCTTATTTGTACATTTGTGGGGATCTTTACCCAACGATTACTTCTATATTTCAAAACTTTATAACTTTCTTCATCTATATTGCATACCGTAATTCTTCATCCAAAATTCCCAAAATTCCTAATGTCTTTTATTACCTTATCATATACTACCCTTGAAAAACCTAATCCCAGAGTCGGACGGTTTGGCACGCTGTATCTAGCGTGCGGTCAGTAGCAGATGGTCCGGCTCGGATTCCCAAAATCCGACGGTCAACTTTCCCTCTCTTCAATGTCACACACTTTCTTCTACCAATCAAATCTATCGCTTTCTTCCTACTTCCAAATTTCTTGTCACCACCCATCAACTTGAAGGGTTGCTGGTGAGTGACAAGGGTGTAGGAAGATCAGTTCTTCACAACACTTTACACTTCTTGACATTACTTCTTACTCTACACTTCTTCGAGACTTCTTAACTATCCTTCTTAAGCAACACTTCTTCAAGACTTGGTAAATCTCAACATCAGATAATAAACTTAATTCGTGATATTTAAACATTGTGTCTTTGCATCAATTATAACTCCCACTCACCGATGCCACACATTTATCGACAAACGTGGGCACGAGAATAGGTTTGTATACATTGCTGTTATCTGCGATTCGGTGTAAACAACGTTTTTAACGCATGTGTCTCGCGCACTGTCTCCTAGCGCCGCATCAACTTGCTGCATGCTGCAAATTACATTTTTGCAACAAAAAAGTCGCCTGCTTGGTGCATAACATTAGTATATTCAAATTAATAAAAATTGGTTTGAATTGTTTGTGCGTGAAAGCGTCACAAACAAATAAACTCATATCTATATATGAATTATTATGTATTTTGCTATAATTCCAAATTATATAAACATAAAATTGCTATTAAATGATAAATAAAAACTACGATATTGCAGAAATGGCATTTGGTATTGTATTCTTTGAACTGAACCATAATTAACGACACTATATTATTTATTTTCTGTTGCGTTTGAATTATGATGCAGTTTCACAACTTTGGATTTTAGTATTTTGTATTGCATCGTTATTTGTATTCATGTCAATAGGTTTATTAGGTACTGAAACTACAAGCCTTTTTCTATTTTCACCCCCAAATATATATTTTTAATAATGATGATATGCAACAAATCAAACTGATAAAAACTCATACTCATATCAAGAAATTATGTTTAATTAATTAGTTCATATATGCTTTATTATTTAATTAGGTTTTATTATTAAATTATTATAAAAAATATTATTAAATTATAATTATTACATTTCTAGCAGTCTCAAAGTATTATGTTAAAATTAATATTTACAGAGTTGTTCATTCTCTAATAATATTATGAAAAAATTATTGACATGTCACTTTGTTTTGGTTTCTCTTCAACATAGCCAGCGTTAACAACGCCATTTGGATTATTCACTGTTCCACCCAAACGATGATGTAAACCACTTTCCACATTCCTATTTTCTAAATTTGATGGGCTACCAATATGACTATTTATATTTTCAGTCACATCAATGGGTTTGCTTGTTGCCTTGTCGCCTACTGGTTTTTTTGAACTGCCACCACCAAAAATTAATTTTTCAATGATTATAACCGGAGATTCAAACGCCAAAGTCCATACAACGCTGATTGCAAATACTAGAGCAAAAATGGACCAGAATTCATACATCTAGAACAAATTAAATTGTGATTAGTAAATTAAAGCTATTTGACAATAAATGGCGGTACTTACAATTTGTGCGTTTGAGAACAGTAGTGGCTGTTTGATTGACATAACCAAAGCCATAAGGACAGTGAAATGTATTAGGTACATCGAATAGGTAAGACGTGCCAATACTTGGAATACCCTCGATGATAAAAACGCATTTATAGGACCTAAAAAATAACATAATATACAAAGCGTTTCAAAGTGTGTACATAAATCCCTACTAATATTATAAATTCGAAAGTCCTGATGTTTGTTAAACTTTCACGCAAAAACTACTTAACCGATCATCATGATAATTTGTACACATATTCTTAGTGGTCCCCGAATGGTTATAGGCTACTTTATATTTAATATAAAAACATATATTTTTAAAATAAAATAAAGAAATTGTTTAGCCAATAATACCTCTGCATCTGGCTATTTGACTACTTTAACGCCATCTAGCAATTCCAGAAATGAAGCTCAAACCTAAGTACTATTGTACCATCACATTGTATTATCACACTGTATTACCGACAGCTACGTCAACATCAAATCCAATTGACTACACTATGGAGACTGTACACTATACTTCCATAGACTATACATTCAGCCATTTTAAACTTCCCGCCATTCTACTTCATTGTTAGTTCTTCAGTGACTACAGACGCGTACGGAAGCAACTTCATTATTTTAGATATTCGCAAGCGAAGCCGCAGGTTAAAGCTAGTTATGAAATAAATATATTGCGTATTTACTTACCACCGTATCCATTTACACACGCGAATATTAACCAAGATAGTGCAATAGACCATGCCGGACGAAGGAAAGCAATGTAAGATGACATATCAAGACGATCATATTCGTCTTGCAATTTGTCTACGAAAACGCATGTAGCCAAAACTGCCAATGATCCGGCCCATAAGCATAAGTTTAACAGCTGCAATTGAAATTATAAAACATTAAATAAAATAAAAATATAAATAAAAAAATATATGTTAGTTTCAGTATGTGTAACATCAACTTACTCTACTCATCTTAAATTCTCCTTTTTGTACAACTTTGATTTTATAAATGAAGTAACCAACTATGATGCCAATTAACCAAGGGGCAGCACGAGTATATGTAGCGGTGTAGTACATTTTCATATAATCGAGCGATGCGTTTGGATTCTCTAGATTTCTATTAATAAAACAATAAAAATCAGTGTTGATTCATTTGATGTTTAAATTTACTGAACTTACATTGAATTAATATCAGTCAGTTTATGGACCCACGCAACTGCAAAACCGGTAGAAATGGACGCCAATGCAGCTACGACAATTGCAGCAAGTGTCAATCTTGGCCAACGTTTGATTGGAAACAGGATAAGTGGTGAAAGAAGAAACAGTTGCATGTCTACTTGCAGATACCAACTTTGTCCAATACACTAGAAGATATAAATATATTTAAACATTGAAGTAATGATAAATTCCAAAAAACAATTGAAACTTACGTTTTCTTCGGGATTCACGTAGTTTTGAATGTATAGCAGTGTACTCCACCAATATTTCTCACAGAACTCGTAAGCACCACCGATCATAGGCCAGTAAGGTCCAGATCCAAAATGTTTAAGAATTGTAATGTGTACCACTAGAACAGCGGCCATAGCAGGAGTTAAACTACAAAAGAAATTAAAACTTTAGTAAATAAAACATAGGATGATCATGGATGATCCTTGATGCATGTAAATATTGCCGAAGTACTCATGATAATAAAATGCCATGAATTTGGATTTTCACGTCTCAAGTGATTGGGTGTCATATTGTACGATGATCCAGTGACACAATTGCATTCCAATTAATCATCTCCTTATCATGCTTGCTTAATTAAATTAAAAGCTATCCAATAAAAGCATTCACGTGATATAAATGTAGATGAGATTATGTTCAATTGACTGCGATTTATTATTTATTATGAGTTGTCTGCGACAACTTACCGAAGGTAACGATGCAAATAGTATAAGAAAACATTGAAAGTTTGTTTGTCTTTCGTTGATTTCAAATAAACATAGATCATTACTATACCACCCATTAGAAAAAAGGAATCTACGGAGACTGTAGCGCCGCGGATGTACATTGTCCAACCATCAGTGATAAACTAAAAAAAAAAATAATTAAAATTTAATGTTTCAGTAGATAATGGTAAAAGTGAGTTTAACTTACGCTTCCGAAGTTCAACGTATTTGCTACTCCGACCATCGTGCTAATGTTGAAGACATGACCAATGAGAACCCACATCATACTTATTGAACGGATACCGGAGAGACATTCCAGCTGGCCAGTGATTGTACCTGGTTCTGTGGTTGCAAAGAGTTTCTCCCCGTTGGTCACAGCAGAAAACGCCAGTAGTATAGGGTGAATTGTTTCTTTAAAATAAATATATGTATATAAGCAAATTTAAAAAAAATGAATATATAATAATCTTACTTTTATTGAAATATCTGAGATACACGTCGTAGATTGATGATACAACCATTAATCCCAAAATTATTCCAAAACATACTCTAGAAGAAAACACAGTTGAAACGTTAAATTATGGCAGCTATTATAAAAAAATACAATGTGAAATCTTAGATTCTAATAATTCTGAGCTTAATTTTCACTTGAAACAATGAAAAACAATGAAAACAATAAAAAAATATTTTCTTACATAACAGCTATATCTCCGCCGGTAATTTCCGGATCCAAACTTGGATCGTGACAATTAATTTCAGAAAAATAAATTGGCAGTTCTGCCGACGCCATCAATATGTTTAAATCATCCGCTGAACATGCATCTGGGCTGCACATCGCCCATCCAATAGAAATCTACGAATAGATAAATATAGAAGTATTAATTTAATTTAGTGCATGCCTCAAATTTCCAGTTTTAATATTGAATTCGCAAAAGTTTGAATTCTGGATAATCCAATCTTGTTATGAATGCATCACATCTTTATATCCTAATTAAATACATCCCGCAAAATAGGAATTTAATAAACAAACACGATATCGAGCGATATCACCACATTCAGTTTGTTCAGTGCTTTTTGTCACCGTCAATAACATCGACAAGCAAATAGGTAAATATTTATATATAAATATTTAGAATTTTTGGCGCAAAAACATCAGATTATTAATTTAATATAAATTTTAAAATTTGATATGATTAAGAAAAAAATAATTCGATTAGTTTTAAACTGTTAAATTTTAAGTTTTGAATTTTAAATATTTAAACTACTTACGCCAGGAATCAGTTGACCAGCACCTAAGCAGTACTTTCCGTTAATTACCATCCTGGATTCGCCAACACTGATGTCTCGATTCGGTGCATAGATCACAACATCTCGAATCGATTGGCATTCGTCGTAAGCGCCCAAATTATACATATTCCCAGCCAGAATACCAGATTGTAGCTTGGACATTGCATCCAACACTGTGCAAAAATTAATAGAATTAATAAAACAACATCTCATGAAGTGTTAAAAACAAAATAAAAACAATAAAAATACTTACTTTTCCAAGCCCATTCTTCTCCACTTGCAACTGCACCCTCATAAAGTTTCATGGCCTTTATACAATCCGGTGAAGCATTCAAATCTTTTAATCCACGTAGGAATGTTTGAGGGAAATCGTTTAACTTATTCATTATTTCACTGATCATTTTAGTATCATTGGCGCTAAATTCCGATGATACACCCAATACACAAACTGTCACCAATAAAGTCTTTAAAATAAAATTTAAAGCCATTTTGTTAAATATAAATTCAACTAACACACAGACTTTTATTTTTTAGGTGATTCCACACTTGTGTGGAGATACAATTAATTTGAGACAATTTTTAGTCTCACGCGCGCTATCGAAGTCGTAATTGTGAAATGGTTCGCAATATTCTTTTATATATACACGCACTGAGAGATTAATATTTTGATAATTACAATGGTGAGATTCAAGTGGTTGATTACACATTGTAGATGTGACCCTTGAGAAAAAAATTTTACATTTACGCTTCCTACTTTGGAAATTCGCAAATGAGTAATAATATAATCGAAGGGAATACCGTAAACACTTATTGATTGTTTTGTGTTGATTGTGTGTACGCAGATAAGACAAAACAAAAAAATTGTACTTTGTATAAAAATGGATATAAATAGCATTAGCGGAATTTTTATTCTTTAAATTATCGAAATATTTTTTGAAGTAGATAAAAAGTTATGATTCTGAAGCTTCTCTTAAACAATAATGTAATATTGCATAATTTTATATAGGTTTTTATTAAGTGTGTCAATATGTTGTAATATTTTGTATTGTAATGTCTGAAAATATTTTTATTTTATTTTATATTTTTATCATAGGTATGTGTCATGTGGAAATCATTGTATCTAAAGCAATGTCTATTATGCGATGTCATGTTCTACAACAAATAGGTAGTATTATTTATTTGGAAATACCTGATGTACTACAACGCAGTAACTTTTAATTTTTACCGTTCGGGTATTGTCTCGCTATTATATTCAAGTGGTTGTACAATAAGGAATGCTACCTAATGAAACAACTCACGTGAATAGATAACAATAGCAAACGAGTATTATTGGAAAATATATTCTGTTTAAGTTTTTACGAGGAAGTTATGATTTGAAGGAATGTCTTGATCGGCTTTGTATCTACGAGTAAAATAAATAAATAGTGATGTAACAATAATTGATTTTTCATATCTATCAGCTTTCAAGCCTTATTTCGCAGATTGGAAAATATAATAAATGAATAAACTATTATTGAAGTCTTTTTTATATTTGTTTTGATATGTAATACCCAGAATGTAGAATTATATAAATATTTACCTGCTAAAATATTTATAAATGAACACTATGCTAGACATTCCCGTTTTTGACGCCACGGAAACCACACATAACTAAATTTTTAATTTTAGTGGAACAATACGAGTACATCCGGCAATGATCTACGGCAGTATTTATTTTTACTGCGGTGTAATTCTATAGATTTTGAATAAAATGTTGTTTTCAAAATGTTTATTATTAAAAAAAATATTATTATATTACAATTATTACATTGCTAACAGTCTCAGAGTATTAAAATTAATATTTACAGTATTGTTTATTTTTTGATAATGATTTGATATAAATTTATGATTTGCCACTTTCATTTGATTTCTCTGTATTGTAGCCAGCGTTGTCAATTCCACTTTGATTATTCAATCGATGATGTAAACCACTTTCCACATTCCTATTTTCTATATTTGATGGGCTACCAATATGACTATTTGTATTTTCAGTCACATCAATGGGTTTGCTTGTTGTCTTGTCTCCTACTGGTTTTTTAGAACTGCCACCACCAAAAATTAATTTTTCAATGATTATAATCGGGGATTCAAACGCCAAAGTCCATACAACGCTGATGGCAAATACAAGAGCAAAAACTGCCCAGAACTCATACATCTATAACCAATTAAATTGAGATTAGTAAATTAAAGGTGTGTGACAATAAATGGCACTACTTACAGCTTGTGCGTTAGAGAACAAAAGTGGCTGTTTGATTGACGTAACCAAAACAAGATGAATTGTGAAATGTGTTAGGTACATCGAATACGTAAGCCGTGCCAATACTTGGAATACCCTCGCTGATAAAAACGCATTTATAAAACCTTAAAAATTTCATAATATACCAAGTGTTTCAACGTATGTAAATTATATATTGGGTATTTACTTACCACCGTATCCAGTTACACAAGCGAATATTACCCAAGAAAGAGCTATAGACCAGGCAGGACGAACGAATGCGATGTAAGCTGACATATCAAGACGATCATATTCATCTTGCAATTTGTCTACGAAAACGCATGTTGTCAAAACAATCAATGAAGCAACCCACAAGGATATATTTAACATCTAAAAATGCAAAATATAAATAATATTAAATATTATTATATATACTGAATTTGGATTTTAGAAATAAATTTTAATGGATGTAACATTATCTTACCCAACTTATTTTAAATTCCCCTTTTTGTACAATTTTGATTTTATAAATGAAGTAACCAACTATGATCCCAATTAGCCAAGGGGATGCACGTGTATATGTGGCGGTATAGTACATTTTCATATAGTCCCCAGCCGCATTCGGATTTTCTGTATTTCTATTAAAAGAATTAAAAATCAATTTTGTTTCATTTGATTTAAAAAAATTACGAAATTTACATGAAATTAATATCAGTCAGTTTATGGACCCACGACACTGCAAATCCAGTAGAAATTGACGCCAATGCAGCTACGACAACTGCTGCAAGAGTAAATCTTGGCCAACGTTTGATTGGAAACAGGACAAGTGGTGAGAGAAGGAATAGCTGTGTGTCGACTTGCAGATACCAACTTTGTAAAATACACTAAAAGTTAAGTTTGGTTGAATTATGTGAGGTTTCATAACGTCAAAAGTGTACGCAAAAAATATATAACAAGTAATATTTACCGCTCCTTCGGGATTAACGTAATTTTGGATGTACAACAATGTGCTCCACCAATATTTCTGACAGGAATCGATTGCGAAGCCATTCATTATAGGCCAGTACGGTCCAGAACCAAAATGTTTCAGAATTGTGATGTGTACAACAAGAACAGCGGCCAGAGCTGGAGTTAAACTACAAAAGAAATTATAATTAAATCAATTCCAATCACACACCAATCAATCGTCTGTTCATCATGATTGCTTGATTAAATTGTAATCTGTCTACCAAATGCATTCGTGTGATATAAATGGCGATAAGATTGAAGTTATGGGTTGTCTGCGACAACTTACCGAAGATAACGATGCAAATAGTAGAAGAATATATTGAAAGTTTGTTTGTCTTTCGTTGATTTCAAATAGACATAGATCATCACAATACCACCCATTAGAAAAAAGGAATCTACAGAGACTGTGGCACCGCGGATGTACATTGTCCAACCATCAGTGTAAAACTTTAAAACAAAAATTAATATTTAATGTTTTACTATAAGTGGTTTTTTTTATTCATAAACTTACATTTAAGACGTTCAACATATTTGCTACTGCTACCATTGACATGTTGCTGAAGACATGACCAATGAGAACCCACATCATACTTATCGAACGAACACCGGAGAGACATTCAAGTTGGCCAGTGTTTGTACCTGGTTCTGTGGTTGCAAAGAGTTTCTCACCGTTGGTCACAACAGAAAACGCCAGTAGTATAGGGTGAAGTGTTTCTATAAAATAAATATAAGTATAAAAGTAAATTAAAAAAAAATCAGGAAAGTTGTTAATAATCTTACTTTTGTCAAAATATCTGAGATACACATCGTAGAGTGAAGATATGGCCATTATTCCCAAAATTATTCCAAAACATACTCTAGAAGAGATTACAGATGAAGCATTAATATTAAAAAAATGACAATTTCAACTATTCGATTCCAATAATTTTAGAATTTCTTTTTTTTTTTGGTAAAGGGTATTCACTTACATAACAGCAATATCTCCACCAGTAATTTCCGGATCCATACTTGGATCGTGGCAATAGTCTTCAGAAAATGCCATTGGCACTGAAGCCAACGTCATTGCTTTGTTTAAATCATCCGCTGAACATGCATCTGGGCCGCACATTGCCCATCCTATCGTAATCTATAATTAATTAAATTGAGAAAAGTATTAATTTATCTTAGTAGGTACATGACTTAAATTTCCGTATTAAGCATTGCATTCGCAAAAGTTTTATTTAGTTTGTTTAGTGCATTTCGTCACAATATCGATGGGTAAATAGGTAAAGTATCGAATTTAGAACACCGAAAACATATGATTTAATTTTGATACCTTTAAAATTTAATTATTATAATGATAAATCCAAAAAATATAAAAAGAATTTATTTAAACCAATTTTAAACAACTTACTTGATCCGTCAATTTGCCCGATCCCAAACAGTATTTCCCGTTAATTAACATAATTTCCTCTGCATCATTGATATCTGGTGTCTGCGAGGTGACCACAACGTCACGAATCGATTGACATTCGTCGTAAGCTCCTAACTCGTACAAATTCCCATTCATAATACCGGATTGCACTTTAGACATGGCATCCAACACTGTGCAAATTAAATATGATTCATTAGGCAATCAAAATAATTTAATATAGAATTAAAAATAAGAAAAACTTTGAAATCACTTACTTTTCCAAGCCCATTCTTCTTTCTTCGTAATTCCATTCCAATAAAATTTCATTGCCTTTAAACAATCCGGCGAAACATTAGCATCTTTAAATCCATGTACGAATGTTTGAGGAAAATTGTTTAACTTATTTATAATTTCACTGATCATTTTAGTATCATTGACGTTAAGATCTGATGATACACTCAATACATAAAGTGTCACTAATAATGTCTTTAAAATAAAATTTAAAGCCATTTTGTTAAATATAAAATCAACTATCGCACTGATTTTTACTATTTTTAGTTGCTTGCACACTAATGTTTTGATCCTATTAATTTGAAACGGTTTTTAGTCACGGCACTTCAATAAATCTTGCGCGCAATCAAAGTAATTGTGCAAGGGTTTGCGATAATCTCTCATATATATACGCACTGGAAGATTTATATTTTGATAATTGCTGCGGCGGGCGTCGAGTGGTTGATAACACATCATAGATTTAGAGTGCGTCAGAGCAGGTGGACTCTTGAAACAAAAATGCTTACGCTTCCTACTTTTAGGAATTCACGAATGAGTATATACGTACAATAGACAAAATATATATTATTATATTTTATTTTTCTTTAATTATATATATTTTATTTGAATTTTAAGAAAAAGTTAATTTATTTTTTTGTATTATTTCGCAGAATTTTACTTTTTGAATTTATTATTAAAGAAGGCTTTTATTTAAAAACAATAAATAACTATTTAGATACATTCCTTTTACAAGAATATAATATTTTGTAATTTACTAATGATTTTCATTAAATGTTTTAATGTGTTGTAATTGATTGTATTGTAATGCCTGAAAATCAAGTTTAATCTGCTTTATTTGCATTTTAAATTTTTTAAAATTCTATGTCAAACAATATTTATTTTGCCATGTCATATTGCGCAATAAATGGATAGTATTATATATTAGGGAATACCAGATTTACTACAGCGCAGTAAATTTGTATTATTATTGTTCAAAAGTTGTCTCGCTGCTATCTTAAAGTGGTTGTACTATGGAATGCTACCAGATGACACAGCTCAGGTGAATAGATAACATCACAGAGCAAATATTACTAGAAATTATATCCTTATAAGTTTTTATGAAAAAGTAAAGTTTTAAACAATTATTTATCGTGATTGTCTGAGAAATTTATATAACTACTAGCTGTAACCCGCGGCTTCGCTCGCGTTGAATCCATCAAATAAATATTAGAAATCATTATACATAGTTGAAACAGATTGATAGAAAGAATGTATATTTTACTGCTTGGCTAGGATTATCTATGTGAAAAAATTACTACATGCAATAAAGTTTTAAATTTTAGATGGAATGCTAGATGGCGTTAAAGTAGTCAATTAGTGAGATGCAGAGGTATTAGTGACTAAACAATTTCTTTATTTTAGTTAAGAAAATAATTATTTTTATTAAATAAAAAGTAACATATATCCTATCGGGGACCACTAAGAATATGTGTACAAATTTTCATGATGATCGATTAAGTAGTTTTTGCGTCAAAGTGTAACAAACATCAGGACATTCGCATTTATAATATTAGTAAGGATGTCACGAGAAATAGATCATCATATTCTTATTATTGAATTAATTGTAATAATTTATGTGAAACTTTATCAATTTTTTTCTTTAAGTTTGCGTGAATGACAAACAAAGAAAGGAAATTATATTTGTTTATTAAAATAATTTATTTTCTCTGAAACTTGCTATAATTATAAATTACTAGCTGACCTGGCGAACTTCGTACCGCCTTATTTATTTTTTATTTATTTAAACTTTATTACACAAAAAAATAATATTGTACAAAAGGCGTACATAATGCCGTAAGGCATTCTCTGCCAGTCACATCGCTAGCGACCCGCCCCGGCTTCGCACGGAAGTAAAAAACCGCATCAAAATCCGTTGCGTAGTTTCAATGATTTAAGCATACAAAGGGACAGACAGAGAAAGCGACTTTCCTTTTTCAAACAAAAACCTGTTTGTCAAAAACTTTAATAACCTTATTGTTGGCGCGGCGGGTATGTCACAAATTACCACAGATTACTATGTAAGTCATGTGAAGTTTATATATGCGTTCTGAAATCTCACACATAGATGGCGCGACAACGGGAAACGGGTTTTATTTTTTTTCAATCTTTCCGAGACATTTTCCTAATATTTCTTTCCGTAAGAACCTTCTACAGAGTATTTGAAAACTGTAAAAAAAAAATCAGCCAAATCGGTCTAGCCGTTTTCATGTGATGGCTTGACCACGCGAAACGGGTTTCATTTTTATATATATATAGATATAAATATTAAATTCCTATTAAATTGTAAATTGAAACTATGATTCAATAGAAATGTCATTTGGTGATGTTTTCCCTGAATTATAACCGTAATTAACGACACCAGTTTGATTATTATCTTCGGCGTTGGAATTATGGTGCACATCACTTTCACAACTTTGGTTTTCATTATTTTGTATTGTGTCGGTATTTGTATTAACGACGATGGGTTTATTATGTGCTGAAACTACCGGCCCCTTTTTGTTTCCACCCCCAAAAATAAATTTTTCAATAATGATGATGGGCGATTCGAAAGCCAATGTCCACACAACGCTGATTGCGAAAACCAATGCGAAAATCGACCAGTATTCGTAAATCTGAAAACAAATAACAAGTTTAAAATATTTACTTATGAGCTAGCGGTTAGTAGATGGCGCTACTTACAACTCGTGCGTGCGTGAAGGGCATTGGCTGCTTGATTGACAAGTATAGAACGTAGAGAACGGAGTAGTGCGTCAAATACATTGAATAAGTGAGTCGGGCGAGGACTTGAAAGACTCTAGCTGATAAGAATGCATTTACAGGACCTGAAAAGGAATTAATGTAAAATTATTTTAATTTTTAATCAAAAAACGTGTAAAATGATGAAGAATTAATTATTTAGTGAAGAAAAATTATTTTTTAAATGTTTACTTACCACCGTATCCAGTGACACAGGCGAATATCACCCAAGAGACTGCAATAGACCATGCAGGACGAATGAAAGCAATATAGGACGAATTGGCAAGACGATCATATTCATCCTGCGATTTGTCCACAAACACACAAGTTGCCATCACAGCTAACGAAGCAATCCACAACGCCATATTTAAAGTCTGGAAATTAAATTTAAAAATAAATCAAAACAGAATTCCTAATTTAATAATATACATTGTTTTATTTTTACGTACCACGCCAATTTTGAATTTTTGATCTTTCCGAACAATTTTCACCTGGTAGATAACATAACCAACTAAGATACCAATTAACCAGGGGGCAGCACGGGAGTATGTTGCATGGTAATACAAATCGGTATATTTTTCTACGATTTCGACGTCAACAGTCCTGTAAAATTAGTTAATGAAATAAATAATTTAATTGGTGTTATTTGAGTCAATCGTACAAAAGAAGATTGTTATTTAGTTTGTGAACCCAGGCCAATGCAAATCCAGTTGAGATGGATGCCACCGCAGCAACTGCAACTGCTGCAAGTGTATGTCTTGGCCAACGTTTGATTGGAAATAAGACAAGTGGTGAAAGAAGAAATAGTTGTGTGTCAACAGAGAGATACCAACTTTGCTGGATACACTATAAAATAAAAAATAAAAAATTATGAGAAAATAAGTAAAATTTTTTGAGTTTTTGTTTAAATTTAGATTTAGTGGTTAAAAAATTAGTATAACTTACCATTTCTAGTGTATTCGTGTAGTTTTGAATGTATAACAATAAACTCCACCAATATTTCTCGCAAGAATCATATGTCTTTGCAATCAATTGCGGCCAATGAGGTCCTGATCCAAAATGTTTGAGAACAGTAAGATATACGACAAGAACTGCGGCTAAAGCTGGAGTTAACCTTAAAAAAACATGAAATTAATTTTAGGTTAGATTAGGTTAGGTTAGGGTATGATAATTTTTAATTGGAGTATATTTATATACCGAAGATAACGATGCAAATAATAAAGGAATATATTAAACGTTTGTTTCTCTTTGGTTGATTTTAGATAAACGTAGATCATCACAATACCAGCCAATAGAAAGAAGGTGTCTACAGCAACAGTGGCGCCACGGACGTACATTGTGTCATCATCAGTCATAAACTAAAGAATTAGAATTTTAAAATCATAAAAACATAACTAACAAAAAATAAACTTACGTCGATAATATTGGTGATTTTTGTTACGGCAACTCCAGCGAGACTACCAAACATGTGGCCAAGAATCACCCACATCATACTCATTGAACGAATACCGGAAAGGCACTCCAATTGACCAGAATTTGTACCGGGTTCTGTGGTTGCAAAGAGTTTCTCTCCATTGGTAACCACAGAAAACGCCAATAATAATGGATGGGCCGTTTCTTTAATAATAAAATGTAAAAATTAATTCTGTTAAATAATTAAAATAAAATTAATCTTACTTTTTTCAAAATATCGAAGATACGTGTCGTACAAAGATGATACAGCCATTATTCCCAAAATAATTCCAAATACAACCCTGTGAAATGTATTCACATAAATTATTTGATATAATTAACTATTTAATTATTATCTCACATGACTGCAATATCCCCATCGGTGATTTCTGGTTCCTGGCTTGGATCTTGACACTGATCTTCAGAGAAAAACATTGGTACCGGAATTATCTGTATGATTTTGTTCAAATCATCGGCTGAACATGCGTCTGGGGCACACATTGCCCAATAAATAGGAATCTATATACAAATAAATAATTTTAGAAACAGAATAATTTTTAATCATTTGAAAATAATTTTAAACAACGTGACTGATATAAAATACGTACCCCAAGCAATATCCCCATACCCAAACAGTATTTTCCATTAATTTGGGTCATTTCTATTGCAATACTGCCGTCAGCTGGCTGTGAGAAGACCTCAATGTCACGAATTGATAGACATTCGTCAAAAGCTCCTAAATTGTAGAGGTTGGCGTCAAGAATTCCTGATTGCAACTTTGACGTAGCATCAACCACTACAAAAAATTAATGGTTTTAGTTATATTGTTATCACAATCAGAAATTATATCATTGATGTGCTGTTGAATACATAGTTAACTAAATTTGTTGATAAATATTGAAAGAATTTTGTAATTATCGCCAGATATTACAATATTGGTTCAATTTTTTCTTCTGATATAATTAAAATCCCAAAAAAAATTTCTCCTCTTATTTTACAGCCCACAAGGTAAATTTTGGTGACAGAAAATATCCTATATTCTTCTCTTACGTCACTAATACCTTCCCACCAAAATTTAACACAATTGAATCAATAGTTTTTACTTCAAAGCGTAACATACATACAAACTCAATTTAGTGTTTATAATTTTTGTCAGAATACTATGTATTACGTCTCCTTAAATAAAATAGTACCAATTCAGTATAACTTACTTTTTAAAGCCCATTCCTCCTGATTGAAAAACCCCTTCCCATAATGTGTCATCGCAGTTTTACAATTTGGTGAAATATCAGCATCTTTATATGAATGCAAGAAGGTCTGAGAAAAGTTATTCAAACTCTGCATAACTTCATGGTACTTCTTTGTATCGTTCACACTCAGTTCTGCTGACACTCCAAGAACGCAAAATGCCATTAACAACAACTTAACGAAAAAATTATTTAAAACCATTTTGGATTAAAATCGAAATTAATTTTTCACAATATTTTTTTAGGATGTATACGTGCATCCAAACAAAATTGTAGAAGTGTAATGATTCAATATTATGATCTGCAATGTCGTTTATATAGGTGTATATATCAGTACGCAATCGAAGATTTAGATATTTGATCAATCTTCGCCGATTTCAAGTGGTTTGGATCAATGTGGATAAAACCATAATACTAGCTCTCGAGTTGGGGAAACTTGATTATATTTATATCTATTTATATATGGGATATTCAGAAACATATGTTAATATAAATTACGTTTGATATACTTCAAGGGGTTATAATTGTTTTGGCTGCTTAAAAAGTATTTAGAGAGGAAAATTGAATGTTTATCAACTATGTACTTGTAAATCACGAGGAACGGGTGAAATATGAATTTCCCAAGGTCAGGGCAGATAAAAGTTATATATAAACCCGGTTTATTATCTATATATATATAAAAGAAAGTCGTGTTGGTTAACTCCATTATAACTAAAGAACGGCTAATCCAATTTAGCTAAAAATTGGTGGAGAGGTAGCTTAGGGCCAGGAGAAGGTAATGGAATACTTTTTGAAATGAAAACTTTTCTAAAAGGGCACTAAACGACACACAAAGGAAACAAACATATTCGCTTATATGGTTTAGCCTACGGGAGAAAAATAGCACACTAATAACGTCTCCTCATTGTGCGATTCGTAGCTTCCCCCTAAGCATAGACGTGCGTGTGTTTGTACGTTGAAGGTGCCCGGTCGATGTGTTTGTTTGAATAAGACTTAGTAAGTGTAGGTTTTTTTACTTGTTGAAGTGAAAACATCCTTGGAAGATACTAAACGAGTTTCCTCCGTCTCTTCTTTGTGCGATGCTTCGTAGCTTCCCCACTCAACATGCCGCGACCAAAACGATCAAATCTTATCCGACAAAACCGTAATGCAACTAGGATTCAAAGGATTGCGAATGAAAGGACTGAAGAAGAACCAAAAATTGCACGTGAAAAGCGCCGTGTTAGTATGACTCGACTTCGTGCTTCTCAATGACAAGAGCAAAGCGAGGCGGAGCAAAGTTTGCCGGGTCAGTTAGTTAGATACATATATATATATGAGTCAGTAAAATGTCTTGCCTACTTACAACAAGTTTATCGCAATCAATTGCCTTAATGGGAGGTTTGTAATTTCATAATTGATTTGACGTAAATTGCACGATAATACTTTGGTTTAATTGTAAGTATTGCTAACGTATGCAGCGTATTATATTTTTATTTAATAGAGAATTTTCCAATCATTCATAATCCGCAATTTGTTGGTAGCTATTGCTTTTAGTTTAAGAGATATTAATTATCAAAAATCGTCGAAAAAAAGTATCAAGCACCCCCCCTTGGCAATTTTTTCTTAAGAATTAAAATTTCATCTCTCAGATTTCCGTTTTAACTATCCTATCTAATAGAAAATAGTCCGTCGATTAAGACGCTGCGATCAGATCCTATTTATCTCTTTTTGTTTACGAGATATTCGCGATTGAAAAAAATAGGCAAAAATTGAAAAATGTCACTTTTTAGCACTTTTAGTGGCGTTTTTCAACCTTTTACTCTAGGAAATATACTTATTTTATATTTTTATTCGATAGAGAACTTTTCAATCTTTCATAATCTGCTATTTGTTGGTAGCTATCGCTTTTTGTTTAAGAGATATTAATTATCAAAAATCGTCGAAAAAAAGTATCAAGCACCCCCCCTTGGCAATTTTTTCTTAAGAATTAAAATTTCATCTTTCAGATTTCCGTTTTAATTATCCTATCAAATAGAGACCAGTCCGTCGATTAAGACGCTGCGATCAGATCCTATTTATCTCTTTTTGTTTACGAGATATTCGCGATTGAAAAAAATTGGCAAAAATTGAAAAATGTCACTTTTAGCACTTTTAGTGGCGTTTTCAACCTTTTACTGTAGGAAATATAATTATTTTATATTTTTATTTGATAGAGAACTTTTCAATCTTTCATAATCCGCTATTTGTTGGTAGCTATCGCTTTTTGTTTAAGAGATATTAATTATCAAAAATCGTCGAAAAAAAGTATCAAGCACCCCCCCTTGGCAATTTTTTCTTAAGAATTAAAATTTCATCTTTCAGATTTCCGTTTTAATTATCCTATCAAATAGAGACCAGTCCGTCGATTAAGACGCTGCGATCAGATCCTATTTATCTCTTTTTGTTTACGAGATATTCGCAATTGAAAAAAATTGGCAAAAATTGAAAAATGTCACTTTTTAGCACTTTTAGTGGCGTTTTTCAACCTTTTACTGTAGGAAATATAATTATTTTATATTTTTATTTGATAGAGAACTTTTCAATCTTTCATAATCCGCTATTTGTTGGTAGCTATCGCTTTTTGTTTAAGAGATATTAATTATCAAAAATCGTCGAAAAAAAGTATCAAGCACCCCCCCTTGGCAATTTTTTCTTAAGAATTAAAATTTCATCTTTCAGATTTCCGTTTTAATTATCCTATCAAATAGAGACCAGTCCGTCGATTAAGACGCTGCGATCAGATCCTATTTATCTCTTTTTGTTTACGAGATATTCGCAATTGAAAAAAATTGGCAAAAATTGAAAAATGTCACTTTTAGCACTTTTAGTGGCGTTTTCAACCTTTTACTGTAGGAAATATAATTATTTTATATTTTTATTTGATAGAGAACTTTTCAATCTTTCATAATCCGCTATTTGTTGGTAGCTATCGCTTTTTGTTTAAGAGATATTAATTATCAAAAATCGTCGAAAAAAAGTATCAAGCACCCCCCCTTGGTAATTTTTTCTTAAGAATTAAAATTTCATCTCTCAGATTTCCGTTTTATCTATCCTATCTAATAGAAAATAGTCCGTCGATTAAGACGCTGCGATCAGATCCTATTTATCTCTTTTTATTTACGAGATATTCGCGATTGAAAAAAATTGGCAAAAATTGAAAAATGTCACTTTTTAGCACTTTTAGTGGCGTTTTTTAACCTTTTACTGTAGGAAATATAATTATTTTATATTTTTATTTGATAGAGAACTTTTCAATCTTTCATAATCCGCTATTTGTTGGTAGCTATCGCTTTTTGTTTAAGAGATATTAATTATCAAAAATCGTCGAAAAAAAGTATCAAGCACCCCCCCTTGGCAATTTTTTCTTAAGAATTAAAATTTCATCTTTCAGATTTCCGTTTTAATTATCCTAACAAATAGAGACCAGTCCGTAGATTAAGACGCTGCGATCAGATCCTATTTATCTGTTTTTGTTTACGAGATATTCGCGATTGAAAAAAATAGGCAAAAATTGATAAATGTCACTTTTTAGCATTTTTAGTGGCATTTTTTGACCTTTTACTCTTGGAAATATAGTTTTTTTATTTTTTAATCTGATAGAGATTTTTCCAATCTTCCATAGTCCGCGATTCGTTGCATTTTAGCGCTTTTAGTTTAAAAGATATTCAGTATCTTTTTTGAGTTGTTCCATTAATTTTGAAATCACAACAATTCTAAAGAAGTTTTCACTGAAAAAAGTATCTACGTAAGCAAAGGTTTGGAAAAAAGCAATTATATCTATGTACTTAAAAATTATTATCATTGATTAACTTTCACTGGTCTCAAGTACTATTGATCATTACAACTCTTTACTACAATTGCTCAAATTCTCAAGCATGGGAAATTTTGAGTGGATTATCACGTGCAATTTAATTAAAAAAATATAGAGTAATTTGGTTGTGTTGATTATAACTGAATTGATAACTGGCGTAATAATAATGACAAACAAAATTTACTGGAAGTATTATAGAATGTCTGCCAATATAGTTATTAACATGTTTTAAATATAGTGTTTTAATAGCTGTAAACTGGGTTTAAGTAATGACATACTTTCGAGCAAAAGATGCTTGTGCTTATGCTAGCAATTTCAAACTGAAGTGTAAAGTTTTTCTATCAAATTGTGCCGTTTATGCTTTGTTTACTTCCTAATCAGAAATAAAAATGAAAACTGCTGTTAATAAAATCTTCACTTGATTTAATCTTTAGTAGGTGATAAAGGTACCAACAAAAGAATTATGTTGATCATAACAATACACAGCCAAGTAAAAAATGTAACTTAATCTAACTTATTTATAATTTCATTGATCATTTTAGTATCATTGACGCTAAGTTCTGATGATACACTCAATACACAAAGTGTCACTAAGAATGTCTTTAAACTTAAATTTAAAGCCATTTTGTTAAATATAAAACTAGCGAACTGATTTTTCTTATTTTTAGTTGCTTGCACACTTGTGTTGCGATCCTATTAATTTTTAATAATTACTGAGATACATTCCTTACACAAGAATATAATATTGTGTAATTTTATAATGACTTTTATTAAATGTTTTAATGTGTTGTAATTGATTGTATTGTAATGCCTGAAAATCAAGTTTAATCTGCTTTATTTGTAATTTAAATTTTTTAAAGTTGTATGTCAAACAATATCTATTTTGCCATGTCATATTGTGCAATAAATGGATAGTATTATATATTTGGGAATTTACTACAATACAATAAAGTATTATTATCGTTCAAAAGTTGTCTCGATAGCAGCGAGTGGTTGTACTATAGAATGCTACCAGATGACACAACTCAGGTGAATAGATATCATCACAGAGCAAATATTATTAGAAATTATATCCTTATATGTTTTTATGAAACAGTAAAGTTTTAAACAATTATCGTGATTGTCTGAGTAATTTATATAACTATGTCACGAGAAATAGATCGTCAGATTCATATTATTAAATTAATCGTAATAATGCGTGAAATGTATGACACACAAAGAAGGAAAATTTTATTTGTATATTAAAATAATTTATTTTCTCAGAAACTTGCTATAATTATAAATTATATAAATATTAAATTGCTGCTAAATAATAAATTGAAACTACGATACAATAGAAATGTCATTTGGTGATGTTTTCTCGGAATTATAACCGTAATTAAAGACACCAGTTTGGTTTTCATTACTTTGTATTGTGTCGTTATTTGTATTAACGACGATG